CCACATTCGCAGAGGGAGTGATCACGTACTTTTATTAAGTAGAGCAAGTTTAAATGTAACAGTATATACATGAGTGACAAGAGTAAAAAAATAACAAGTCAGACTGTAGCCATAGCAAACTACAGCATAGACAATGAAGAGTGATAGAATATGCATTCTCTTCACAGTAAGAGGCCACTCACTCATAAGTCACAACTGATAAATAGCTAACATATTCGCAATGAATGCTTGTTGAATTGGCAGTTGACATGTCGATCATTCGACAGCGTGACATCGACATTAAACTTAATAGTAAACTTCTTTGCTAAATGATTCCGTTGAACATGCCCAAATTAGAATGAGGCGATCTTAATAGTTCATCTGTCTTGTTCAAGCGAAAGATTGTGTACTGGAACACGAGTTCAAAAATCTTTCTCTTCCTTGTATCGATGACATGGACTATAATGCTTGCCATCGTGGTGAAACAATTTGCCAATCGGCAATTGGGTATTAAACAGTATACATACCTAAACTTATTAATAATAAATCTGTTTTATTTGGTAACACACAATAACGCAATTGTATTTGATTTTTTTTTATATACAAATGTAAAATTAAGAATTGTAAATATGAAAATAAAGTTTATTGGAAAAATACATAAATAAATAAAAAGGAAAACGAATAAAACGTCCTGTTTAAATTAATAAATCGTTCTTAGGGATCATTTCGTTTCGTGTCTTTGTCCTTCATCGCGACCGCGACTTACGTGAGAACGACATAAACGCGAAATATTGCTAAAGATCTCGTGGTATAAGTAGCTCTCGCGCAAGTCGCGCTCTGGCATATTAGTCTTACTGCGACAAAGCTTGCAACGTCGCACTTTGATATCTCGAGATACTCGTGATGAACTGCGTTAGACCCACTATTGTGAAACGGCTTATTAAATGTAAGGTGTTAATGAATGAATTATATAGTGAACATATTCACTGCGTGAGCTAACATAATGGTCGCATTGAATGCAAATTGTCAACCGAGATATATCTATCGACATTGTGTTGTATGACAAATCAGCTAACAAAATCAACCATTTAATTTTATATATATCAAGCCAATAAGTTGTTACATTTAAGGACATAATAAATACTTTTTCAAGAACTTGTCTTACAAAATTAAGACAACTTTAGAAAATGTCATTGTTTGTAAAAAAAATTAAATTGTAAAAAAACATTCTCCAAATGCAATGAAATTTTACGGATATTGTAATGGAAGACCGTTCTGCTACGCATAATAATTCTGTTTCACTAAGAGACGCGAGGGTAGAATTTATTTTTATACTGGTTTTAATTCATAAATTTGTTTTATTTTACGCGTATCCGAACGTAAATACATTTGTTTCCCTTCAAATCGCACACGCCACACGAGTTGTTGAAGAGCGAAAGTAGTGTCGATTTTTTAAGTAATTGTATGATATTACCCTGTGAAAGTAGTAGTAATTGTATTAAATAAGAAAACATTAATCTTAGAACGATGACAGACGTTGCTAAAAAGGTAAAGTGTGGATTTACTCTACTTTTGATTGACACGAATAAAGAACAATGATAAGTGTGCGTGACCTTACAATTTTCTGTAAAAATACGTCCAATAACTGTAAAATAATGAGTTATCCTTATTTAATTGTTGTTATCGTGGGCTCTGTGTTAAACAAATCTGAATTGTAGCATATAGAGTCATACATTCAAGTCGAGTCTCATAACCTTAATATGCGTCATGGTTGCTTGCTACAGGATGACGATAGTGTGCGTGTTGTAGGCAATAGTAAAGCGGTAATATCCAGTGAATGTTTTCAATATATAACATGTGGTGCATTCCAGGTGCAAGAATACAAAGACTCGCTCAAGCAAAAGGCAGAGCACCTCATAATAAAAGGATTTCCTGAGAAAATAGTGAAGCTGAATGAGCTTCTAGAAACTTCAAATTTCCGTGATCGTGATCTTGCGGATGTCCATCAGGTAATTATGATTACTTTCACTCTTTTGGTTTATCTTTTTTCTTGTGTATTAGACACTAGTCATAAAGTAATCAAAATTATTGTCAATTTTACACCTTGAAAAATGGCACAACACACAGCTTTTGGCTTTTATTTAACTTAACAAAGTATGGTAGTTAACTATATAAAACAAATGAAACTATTTTATTCGATTTTCACAATTTAGACACAAGTGAATATCAATAAAATTCAGTAAACAGTACCATCCAAATTAGGAGATTACCGCCAATTTTTGAACTGCCATTTAATATCGTTATTTTTTACTGGGCAGTTAGACAGTTGAATATACTTCCATATCAGCACTACATTATTGTATTTTGGTACAAAGTTCTATGTTGTATAGTTTGTAGTTTACATCGAGTATATAATCAGAAATAGAGATTAAATGTCATTTAATTTGAAAACTATTCTGCCATATCATTACTTTGACAACTGCGCTCCGATTGGCTAGCCCACGTTCGAAACAATTGATGGGTGTCGTCAATGGGAGTCGTCACTTGTTTCACTTCAAATCGACCAGTTAACTTGAGTTTTGCTATAAATTCTCGTAATTGCAAAATTACATATTTAATATTTAATTACCGATGAAATGTGCTACCGATTGTTTTGTAATTAGATGTTTTGTTTTTCCCACACCACCTAATGAAATAGCCCCCATTGATAAAGATATTATCTTTATTACAATAAATACAGAATATTTTTTGGAATATTCGGAGACGTAAACACAGGTCAGAGTTGGCCTGTCTATGTTTCAGTGCAAATGAGAGTTGATATTTATAAGAGCTGTATCGCTAATGTGTTACCAGGAATATATGGTCCTTATTTCATCTCTATTTCTGGTTATGTACTCGATGGTAGTTTAACATATTTATATTAATTACTATGAAGGCTAGAATCCAATGCAAAAGAATTGCACAAAAAAGGCTGTGCCAGACCCTTTATGAGACCTAGAGTCTTTCATTGGAGGCATAGAATGTGATTCCATAAACTTAAGACATGACAGTGTTGTCACTTTAAAGTGACCATCAAACCCTTGTAAGGTGGGACTGTACATGATTCCATTGAATCTCAAGTCAACTATCCACCACATTTTGTTGCAGATTGAGTGCACTCATACATTCAGTATAAAGCCATCATATTGCAGCCCCTGCATAAGGTCCTATTTTTTATTTATTTATATATAGGAAGATCAACAGCTTAAACTAAATTAAATAATAATAATAACATACACACTCAACATAGCCCCGCATTAGGGAAACCCTGTGTCGCGGGTGCCATAGATACACACATAGACCACCACAAATTACACTCAAACTCACAAGAGAAATAAATGTAGGCCATACAAATATTTCTCCCGGCCCGGGAATCGAACCTGGGATCTCTACGTGGCAGTCCGGCGTGGTAACCGTTCGGCCACAGAGGCAGTTATAACAACTGAGAGCCAATTAAAGATCCTCACAAATAAGAACAAGGATACACACAAATATAACAAGGAATCGGGGTACACAATTTACCTAACTTATTATAATAAAACATTTAAAAAAAACCACAGAAGTTGCAAGCCTTTATAAGAGTCAAAGAAGTGCTCACTCAGTGCTCTCATTGCCGAAATCACATTCGTAGTGTAAAGATCCAGATCAAAGTTATTACACAAAATGTTAAAATTATTGCTTGCACGCCACATAACTCGTTTGCCTGTAATTAGTTTGGGCCAGAGGTAGAACTAAAAGTGAATTGTTTCTAAAGGAGCTCCTTCACCACGAGCATTCGCTTGTGATGTAACAGTTCAAATTCCAGCATTAGAGCGGTGAGGGAGGAGAACCGAGCATTTGATGCGCAACACTTGTAACATTTAGTAGCCTCCTTCACCGAGAGCATTTGCCTGTAATGTAACAATCTGTTCACATTGTAAGGCTGCGACTCTACCAGATATAGTGGAAATGTTTTCAAATCTTTACTTAGGTGCCTGCAAGTGCTTGCAAAAGTGCCTTTGAGTGCTTTTGAGTACCTGTCAGTGCCTGCGAGTGCCTTCGAGTGCCTTTGAGTGCCCTTGAGTGCCTGCGAGTGCCTTTGGGTACCTTTGAGTGCCTTTCAGTGCCTTTGAGCGCCTCCGAGTGCCTTTGAGCGCCTGCGAGAGCCTTTGAGCGCCTGCGAGAGCCTTTGAGCGCCTGCGAGAGCCTTTGAGGGCCTGCGAGAGCCTTTGAGGGCCTGCGAGAGCCTTTGAGGGCCAGCGAGAGCCTTTGAGTGCCTTTGAGTGAGTGCGAGTGCTTCCGAGCATATGATCGTTTTCTCAGCATGGACTTTAAAGTGGATTTTAAAATTTCTTTTTCAATTTTCTGAACATTCCAAGATATAGGTTGTCTCATATTTGTTTTTTAAATGGCTATAGGATTTAAATAAATAAGTACTCATAGAAATACAACAACAATATTATTTTTTGAGACAGTGATTTGTAGCAAATACATAATAAGAAATAATAATTTGGCTTTATGGAAGAGTATGTCCACACTATTTTTTAGTTTAGCTAAATTAACTCCCTCAATTCCAATCACTGGACATTACACTAGCAGTAACTTACACTATTTATCACCAAGTTAACACAGTCTTCCTTTCTCGCTTACAGCTGTGTATTGCAAATTACTTTTAACTTTCATAATTTGATGTAATAAACTTAAACTGATTTAAAAATTGAAATGTTGTAGACTAGGGTCCATTTTTCATAGGAGTTTAAGTATTGCATACAGTACTAATACTGGCTCACCTAGCAGCAGTATTTTAACTGTAGTAATGGAACTGATAATAGATAGGTTTACCTCAGACTTAAAACAGAACTGTTAGCTGTTTTGTAACAAAAAACTCGTCAATCACTGGTATTTCATTCTAGTTTAATAAATTTTTGAATGCACGCCAAAGGGAACAGGGTTATGTGAAGTTTTCAGCACTGCTATTCGCAATCAGTACTACACATTGGGCTTTAAAAAGGAACTCCGTCTTATTATTCCTAGCTACACAGTTTTATATGTTATATAATGTATCCTTCAAGGAACACTTAGGAATGGGACAATACAGTATTTGTTCTACACTAGATTTTTTTATTCACTAATTTCCAGATCAATGTTGTAACGAGCTGTTGTCCGCAACTCGACGTCCAAGCGCCTATTTTGCGTAAAATATGAAGTATTAAAATAATCTTAGGAATCTTAATAATAAATGTTTAATGTTTCTGTTTGATTTATTGTATGAAACTATAGATGGAAACCTGTAATTGGCTTATTTCTTTTTCTGTTTTTATTAAATGTTTGAAGCTGTTGGTTTTCCATTAATAAATAAATAAATAAATAATAATAGCCTTTATTCCTGATAATTGCTCAAATGTTACAATACAATTCTTTAATACAGAATACGGTACAATTTATTAATATAAAATATTAAAAATAACCATTATTACATTAACAGTAAAAATAAATAATAGACACAAATGTTCATTTAAAAATTAATACTTAAATAAATACTTTCTAACTTATTAATTCATTTCACCTGTTCATTCACCTGTGTACAACATTTTTCTATAATTAAATTACCTATACATCATCGGCTTGTCTTCCAACATAGGCTTCTTGCAGGAACCTCCAGTTCTCCCTGTCTGTACCAGTCGTTGCCACAAAGGGTCTTATGAGTCTTAAGTTGTGTTAAGTATCTTTACAGTTGTGTACAACGACAATGTAATCCGACAACGCATGTGTGTAACAAATGACTTAAGATACCTCCTCTGAAACTTCCTAATTTCCACTCCTAACTATAAACTTCGTTATTACTGTGTTACAATATAATATTTCTGGTTTTGAATTGAATTTGCAACCACTGAATTCCTGTCGTAAGATTTTTAACATTATAAAATATGTTGGTTCTAGGACTTAAACATTCCAGTACCGCCACCAAAATCGGCTACCGAGCCAAACGCCAAACGTCAGAGGCTGCTGGACTCATCAGACGTGTCAAGTAATACTACGCTTGAAGGCTCCAAAGTGTATGCGCTTCCCAATGGGACTGTGCCGTGCAACAAGCCTCTTAGCGATCTGATACATCTTGTAAAACCACACATTCGAGAGCTTGTTGAGGATTCCAATCTGGTATGTGAACTTTTTTATTTATTTATTGGAGTCATTGTTTGCCCTACCTACAATGGTTTTACCTACCGCCTCTGGCTAAGCTGACATCAGATCCGGGCTCGCACCTCTGAGTTTCTCGGGATTTCTGTACGAAATTTACCATGAGCTTTTCGGTGAAGGAAAACATCGTGATGTCTAAGAAGGTTCAAAACTCTTAGAAAACGTGTGAAGTCCCCAATTCAGATTAGGTCACTATGACTTAAACCCTTGTCTGAGAGGAGACCCGCGGCCAGGGGGGCTACTCTCGATCTCCGTCCGACATCCGTCCGACATCCGTCCGAAGCAATTACTGTCAAATAAGTAATATTCGACAAAATTAAAAGACAAGTATCCAGTACGAAGCTCCATTCGCATCACTGTCTTTTCATTTGGTCAAGTATTGCTTATTTGGCCGTAATTGTTTCGGACGGATGTCGGACGGACATCGACAGTAGACCCCCAGCAGTGGGACATTGAAATGGGTTGGAATCAACAAATAGTTACACATTACAAGTAGTACATAGCTGTAACTAACAAATAGTGACGTAATGAGTAACAAACTCTATAACAGTTTTCGAATTTTGGCAAATATTGCACTCCCTAATTCAGTAGTGGCACTGCTTACAAATAATGTCTCTATACTAAATCAGGACTAGATACATTAATGTAATTATGAATATACAGGTGCTCCCTCAATAGATACAACAATATCGGTCAGTGAGAGCTCTTACAACAATGAATAATATTTTTTTGAGAATTAAGACCTAAATATAAAATATTTATGTACTTTAACATCATTTAAAGTAAGTAATATTGTAGAAAAAAAATTGAATATTTGTTACACCACTTTTGTGCAGATAGCCTCAATTATGTTGGACTGTCGCCCATTTTGACTCATCATTGTTTGATTGTTTATTTAGTTTTATGTGCATAAAGTATATAAACATTTAATGTCTCGAAAATTACATAGTAAGGAACAGAATTAGTTCTGTATAAGTATTTATCTAAATATAAGCCACTTGAGAGTATAATATAATCTCTAGCCTGTTACAAAATATATCTAAATGGAAACAGGGTTTGTCATAAATTACTTTTTTTGTCTTAGCTGAAAATGTGGATCTCTTTTATGATTCCTAAAATTGAAGATGGCAACAATTTCGGAGTATCAATACAAGAGGACACCTTGGCTGAGATCCAGTCGGTGGAGTCGGAGGCAGCCGCTTTTTTCGACCAGATTTCGCGGTACTTCATATCGCGAGCGAAAATCGTCTCGAAAGTTGCCAAATATCCACACATTGATGACTATAGGAGAGCCGTTAGAGTAAGTTACTTAAAGTGACCTGTATCTTTTTATGTTTTTAGATGCCATATTTAAAAAATATTTCGGGTCCTATTCAGGTACATGCGATATTCGTTACCGCTGTGAGTAGCGAAATCCTAGTGAGTGTGCGGTATTCCTACTGGTCCCAACCTAAGCGGATGTCGTTACCGCTATGGGTAGCGAAACTTTTTTGATTTGAGTCTTTGCCCATAGAGGTTCCTAAACTTTTTGGCTCACCGCCCACTTAGGCAATTATATAATATATGTTGTGTAGTTTATATAGATAATTCAGGTTTTTTTTTTCAAATGTGGTAGCACTCCCTGGACAGCATCAACATCCCGCATTTGCCTCCGAGGCCCCTACCGCCCCCTAGGACTCTTTAGTGCATGATAACTTTATATATAATGTAAGCATCATTATTATTAGTTGTGGAAGTGTTCCCAATTCTGTGTAAAAGTCTCTAACAAAAAAAACCATATTTGCAAAATGACGACTTTGACAACAAGTTACTTGATTACTTTTCTATGCTTATATAGGACTTCTAATTTTTTCCTTCGTCCATTATAATTTTCTGCATTTGACGTTGACGCCAGTCAAAAGTTGATGTTACTGAACGAAAACGACGCCTAACTTTGTTTTATTAAACAATTTTATTTTTTATTTCGGGTTAAATAAAACTTCATAAACTATTTCTAAAAGAAAGAAAATAATATGAGCCCTCGAATTTTATTTATTTTATAAAATTAAAAAAAAAATGATAAAGAGTCTATTTGCATAAAATCCGCTTAAGTACTTCAATAACCGGCAATTTATCTCACCATCGCAGTGTCCCTATTATATTAGTATTTCAACCCTGACGTTGACGACATCGTCGCGCAAAACGACGGAGCCATACTTGATACAAAAGTTGAAGTTGAAGTAAAATAAGACTGTTATGAAATCTCGCATATAATTCATGTATAGCAAACTAGAGCTTCTTGTGAAACAGTTCGTCTAGGGAAGTACTGCCTTACCTATTTCTGCCACCAAGCAGCAATGTTAAGCAACATTACTCTGTTTTAGTTATGATAGGTATGTGGGACTTCTCAACTTATGTCTCAGGGTGACTGTCCCTTAGATCTTTGTGATTTATGGTTCTGAGTGGCACTGTAGCTGTTATGGACAGGCGTGTCGCTTACCACCAGACGCACGACTGGTTCGTCCAGTCACTTGTCATTGACGTATGACTTCATCTGACTTTATTATACCATGTTATTGAGCACACTCCACTATCACTTAATTTGGTAGCATAAAATATCTGATGTTCTAATCTGATGGTTGTTTTCTATCCTCAGGAATTGGATGAGAAAGAGTACCTCTCCCTGTGGCTGGTGATGTGCGAAATACGCAACCGCTACTGCTCGCTTCATGACATCGTCATAAAGAATCTCGAGAAAATCAAGAAACCGCGCTCCTCCAACGCAGAAAACCTATACTAGTTTCATAATCTTATTAGTGTCTCTTAGTCCCATTCAATTATAAGAGTTATAAGAAGATACCTTACTGGCCGGAACGCAAACTCAACTGTTCTTTGCTCATCAGGCTCCACTGTAAATACTTCACGTCATACCAACAATCTAATGATAACATCTTCACTGTGAGGAAACTTGTACACGCTGTGTACGTGTTGGTATGCACGCGGCTTGCACAGGGCACAGTTTCCCCTTCAACGGCACACAAGCACAAATATACAAAACTCGTACTTGGCTTGCGCAAGTTCACTCGTAAGCTCGATCGTATAGGCATTCTTGAAGATGTTCGAATTTCACCAAATACCGCTCCTTTCCTGCTAAGTTTAATTATATATAACATGAGCATGTATCGCAAAAGACCGTAATTCATACCTGCTAACAAAACTATAGGTAATCATTTTTGTATCACTGACTGAACGTGATTGGTCAGTTTGAATTATCTTCTGCAGTTCACGTGATATCGAAGCCATGTGATTCGTCACATTGGATTCGCTCTTCAGCTCACGTGATATTTAAGCCATGTGATTGGCCATTTTAAATGTAGTACTACATTTTAAAACGTAGCGAGATTTTATCGTCCTCCTAGTACCAAGAAGGTTTCATTCATATAACAGGTCTTTATTTAAGAGATTAAACATTTTCATATGTCTAGTGAGTAAAGAACAGACTCGGATCATGTAGTAGTCTTTATAGCAACGTGAGACAGATGTATTATATATAAGAGACTGAGCCCTGTTTAAGGATTAGTGAATTTACATGAAGAACTGTGACTGGTTCAACACGGTTGCGCGATTTTGATACTGACATTGTCTAGGCTACGTATAGAGATAGGCTCGTTTACCTATAATTTAAGTTATAAATCAGCTGAAAAGTATGATTTTAGTTAATTATCAAAGTTTTCATTGTCCACATGCTATGAAACTACAGTATGATCATATACGTTCTTTAATATCAGTGATTCCAAACGATAACGTGACTTTTCCTCTAAGTTAATATTTATTGTTCCCTCAAATTTCCGTGCCTGTATTATTTCAATAGTTTATATTGACAATTCCCTGCTATTACAAAGTGATACAGTTTGGCTGTTAGTCAACGTTTAATTTAAAATGTAACAATATGGATAAAAATAAAATACATTTCTATGAATGTGTACTTGTTGTTTCTTTATTTAGATAATATTATGATGGTACCAAGCCATAATTGAAGTACTACTACCTTACCTAATTCTGCCGCCAATTAGTAATGCGAGCATTGCTGTGATTAGATTTTGTAGGGTATGGGTGCTGGACTGCTGGTGTGCTATTTAAATAAATAGTTATACATTTCATTGCCATAGTTTTATTCACGATTGTACTTATTGGTAGAAACGGTTGGGTAGGGATAAGTGGAAACGACATTCCACTTATCCCAACCAGTTACGGTGTGGTATGGAAGAATGGAAAAAAGATCCACTTGTCCCCACCAGGAGCGACAGTGGTAGGGACTAGTGGAATAGGCCCATGGGACTTGTCAACTTACGTCTCAGGGTGACAGGCGCAGTGGCAGTGTTCCTCAGATCTTTGCGAATTAATGCTCTGAGTGGCACTACTACTACTGCTATGGACAGACTGGTCACGACTTATTCGTCCTATCACTGAAAAAACATTCTCGTGTTACGAATATCGCGATGCGTCGTTGGCATTGCGCTCGTTCAAGTGGATGATTCACGCCACGTGGTTGCCGGGCGCAAATTATGCACGTGTCAAATTACGAGAATGATACGACGACATGTGATGTGATAAGACGTTGAATTAAGTATGATCTATGTCCCCAAAGATATTTTTGTCTTTGATGAGCACCGCATTTAGGCCGCGCTGTATATTGTTGCGGAACGGTAAGAAAGCGAATTTATGTAATACAATTTGTATTTACCATAATGCACTTTATGTCAATTGTGCAACGTTATTATTATACGAGTCAAAAAAACAATTCGTCCGTTTTAGGTTCAATTTATATTGCGGCGGAACGGAATGGAAGTGAATTTTTATAGCGGTACTTTACAGTGTATAATGAACTTTATGGTCAATTGATAACGTACAAACTAGATACGAGCCCCAAAATCTTCCGCGGTATTCTCGCACATGCTCGAGTTAATCATAAAGTACATTATGCTATGTACAATATCGTTACAAAAATTAGCTTCCATTCCATAAATTGAACCTTACGGAGAATTTGAGTGCATTCTCGTGAATTCCCGGCTCTACAGTCGGCTGTGTCGTAATTGTTATTTCATCAGTGCCGTCGGCAGTGTCTGGCGAATTCACGGATACGCGCGTAAAGAGGCAACGCGGCGTCAAGCGTGTACGAAACAGGTACCTATATTATAATTTTTTGTAAAACGTTGCATATAGACCGAGTGAACACAAATATCTCTTTTCCGCTTTTCCGTTTTCTCTTCTTCTGCTTCACAAAAATAAACTAAATAAAATCAATATCCTACTCGTCACAGATGAAGCTACGGCAAAAAAGTCGTTAGATACCAAAAACGGAGATCTGCAATAAACACAGAAAAATTCGTAAGGTTCACTGCACAGGCCAATCGGTGGTACGTACCGTGGCTTAGTTGGCATAGCGTCTAACACGGTTTGTTAGAAGACGTTGGTTTGAATTTTTTTTTGTTGGAATTTTTGTATAAGTGTTCAATCTTCGTATTAATAATTATTTATAAGGAACTAGTGGAGTAATTTAACAAGAAATAATTGAATATCACGCTAGTGAAGCAACCTGACATTCAATAAATTTAATTACAATATCCTACTTCATCTGGGGAAATTACAGGCACATGGGACTTGTCAACTTATTTCTCAGGGTGACGGGCGTAGGTTAGTGCCCCTCAAGATCTTTGCGATTTTAACTTAGAGGATGAAAAAAATGATTTATAGCTCTGAATGACGCTGCAACAGCTATGGACAGGCGTGTCGCTTGTTCCATAGTCTAAGGTCGCTTGCCACCAGGCGCATGACTTGTTCGTCCCGTTACTTAGTATCATTAAAAAAACCGTGTGACGTAACAGATCTAGACTAAATGCTATGATAGTATGTATATAAGTAGTTATCATCTCAGTACAAGTACTAAAACAACCGACTTCAAAAGTCATTCATTCCCTAGTTTGCCTCCATTAGAGATGGAATATTTTCTTCAAATTCAAATGGGATCACTTCTGAGGTATCCTCTTTCCAACAAAAAAGAATCATCAAAATCGGTTCACAAATCACGCGCCGTAGTTATCGCGTAACATACATAAAAGAAAAACCTACAGTGAATTGAGAACCTCTTTCTTTTTTGAAGCCGGTTAAAAAAGGCAGATATTAGCTAAATTGTTTACTAAACAGTTGAACACCTATACAGCCTCAAGGGACAGTCGCGAAAATTCAAGAGCAGTCTCGCGAATTCGCGTTCATTCTCGCGCAACGAGGCGATATAAGAAGCATCCGTAAGAAGCGTCTGCAAAAAGTGCAAACCACGCAGAACTCATGCATGCAGCTCGTTAGTTCACTTTAAAAAGCTCATGATTATAAAATCTCCTTGATATACTTAGATGCAATTGGCCATAAAACGGTATGTCAAAACTTTCGTTTTTAGAATCTACGTACTGTCACATGCATTAATATATAGTAATAAATAATACATAATGATAAGGGGAAAGGTGTACGAGATGATCCTTGGAGGTAAGATGATCCTTTTCAATTGTAGCGAAACTAGCAACGTCATCTAGATATTTTCTTCAGTAAAATGTAGGCTTCAATGTCAATGTCCTCTCATCAGTCAATTCGTAATAGCGATGTGAGTGATGAATTCATTTTTGTGGAAAAAACAAAAATTGTGTGAGTTTGATCTAAGGTAAAGTTGATTAAGAGCTTAGGCAACTTCCATTCTAAGCAATCAATTGCTAAAATTTTTGTGTTGGTGACTTTGCATAATGCTCTATTTACTTTTTTAAGGCGTGGTAACAGTAGACAGCATACAGGTTATTTTGCCGAACTAAAAATAAAAAAGTAAATTGGTGCAAGATGACTACGGTTTTGGTGCACGAGATGATCCGTGGGGATCATCTTGTACTGAATATATTGTTAACGGACTATATTTAATTTGTATGTTTTTCTGAGTATACTGAAACCTCTTAATTAAATAGCTTGTAATACGAATAAAATAGTAGAAGACCGGATTTCGTTTACATGATCGATCTCGATTAATAACAAATATAAATGCTTTTTCTTGTTTTAGACCAGGCCGCGTAATTGTAAAAGAAAAACCATTCGTGGTGGGTGGTTGGGAGACTATGATCTAAAGAACTAGATGCGTATAAAGTAGGACGCCACGTAGATCGGCAAGTAAATAGGTAGCAGTTATGTCATTAAAAAGACGGGCTAAAGGTGAAATAAAAGGGTCTGTCAGTTCAATGAAATATTTAGCTGAAAAAAAAAAAATGTTTTCATCAGATGTGTCAAACAGGAAATCGAGCTCGTAAAGTATATTAAAGAAATGGAGACGTGGAAGGATATCAGCTTGCCATAAAAAACAATATCGCCCACCCTTAGGTACCTGTAAGATATAAATTAATTAGGATTATTTGTTCTCGAAGTTCCGTAACTGTTGTTTCATATACCTAGATTACATAAGTGAGGATTTTGTTAAGTCTAATGAGTAACCTAGAAATTTTCCTAAATAGAGGCAAGGTGATCCCTGGATCATCTTGCCCATACTCTTAGAATCATCTTGGACACCCCGGTGTCCAAGACGATCCTTTAGTAGGGTTTTAAAAATATTCAAATATAATAATGAAAGATCAAATAATAAAACGTTTTTAGTAAGACAACATGTAAATAGATAAATTTTCTATCATTCAACGCTTTTACATCTGCTTTAAGCTGAATACTTTTAAACTACCACCATTCTCCCTTAAGGGGATCATCTGGTACCCATATATGATTGATGATTTGAATAGTCTTTTACTATGATTATAGAATTTGGATTTATAATAAAGTTAATAATTAAATTCTTTATTCAGGCATTACAAAAATAAAACATTTTTAATACCCATTAGCAAAAATATTAATAAACCTTAGGTAATATAGAATAAATTATAACATGCAATAAAATATAATATGACCCAAAATAAAATAATACCATCTACCATACCATAAAATAATACCATTTTTAGCTAACTATATACATTTTAATGTACGTGACTGTACATATCAAACAATAAGTCAATCTTCCTTTTGAAAATCTCACCGATTTTTGACGCAAATATTAAGAATCAATTTCTATTGTATTTAATATATCATTTCAATTTATTTACTATTTTAGCTATAATTTGATTTATTTAGGCTATGGCTTAATTTGTAATGAATACAATGGCAACCGACATTGAGAAAATGACCGTCGGTGACAGTGCCCGGAACATTTCGACGTGTGACCTAAAGCAAAAGAAATCGAATCATGTTTTCGATGGTGCGGGCGAACACGTTCGGTATCATAGTGACTCCGAGTCGCTCGGCTCTCGAAAAAGCAAGACTCGTTTCATTAATCCCGCCATTTATGTGGAGACAGTGGAGTCCACGCATTCTGTGACGTCACTGCATACAGACTCTTCTTCTATTGAGGATGTGACACCGCACCCTCACACGAGTTATAGGAGCAATTCAACGCCCATGCTAAGTGGACGCGACTCGTCTGCGTCTTCGGGAAGCGTCAAGCGAATATCGTGCCGACTGTCCGGCACAATAACGTACAACAATGACGACCCTGACGAGGACACCGCTCGGAACCACCTCACTTATCGAGACGGTTCTGATACGTTCCGATTGTCCGTTGCCTCCTTGTCGACCACCACTACAGCTCAGGAAGAAAGGGCACGCAACGACCGTAAGAAACAGGAAGCATTCAAGAAATGGTTACAGCGAAAAGAGCAGGAAGTAGGTGTCTCCATTTCTCTATATTTTTATTTGACTTTGAATTGATAGTTACTTTGCAAACTCACTTTTAACCGAATCTATAAGTACTTGCTTGAGTTTATGTTGCAATTATACAATTGGAAAGTAGTAGGAAGTAAGTGCATCCATTTATTCCATTTATATCTATTTTTATGTATTTTTATTTGAACTATAATTCGATATCTTTTTGCGTAATCTTTACTTGCTTCTTATTTGAAATGATATAATGTCAAAATGAGTAGGAAGCAGATGTCTCCGTTTCCATATTTTTCTTGACATTTAATTGATAATTACTTCGTGTACTATTTTTTTACCTAATTTATACTTGCATCTATTTATTTTGCATTTATACAGTTGGAAAGGTGTCTCGATTTTTATATATTTTTGTTTTTTGACTTTTGTTTGTAATGTGATAGTAAGTCTTTACAAAAAAATTTGTACAAAATCTTCACCGGTGTCTATTTTGCAATTATACAATCAACAATTCAAGAAAGTAAAATTCAATGAAGAGTTCATGTCGCCAATGAAACTTTGATATTTGTTTTTTGGTAGAGACGTGAAAAGCTTCGGGTTGAGGAGAAACTGAAGCGTCAGTCTGTGCCTGTACCTACCTTGGAGCAGCGAGAAGAGACATTTCGCCGCTGGCTCGAACGGAAACGTGAACAGGTACCTACTTAACTGTGGTAGTTATAAAAAGTAAAATCTAGATTGGTGCCACAAACATTGGTGAAAGAATGTATAGTCCGTAGTGAAGTCCGTTACTGAATGTAATGCTACAATGTGCGGCGACTGCCTGCTGTTGTTGCCTTCACCAATATCTCACCGTGTGTAAAAAAAAAAGAATATAGTCTAATTGAGAACCTCCTCCTTTTTTGAAGTCTCTTAAAAACAGGTTTCCATTAATATTAAAAATATCAAATGGAAGTGTCGAGAAAACGTACATCGATGTTTATATCGTACACAGACAGCGAAACTTGTTAAAAGTACATAATTAAGTAAATTCTATTAAGTCGAAAGGCGACTATAAAACTCGATTAAAGCATAAAACAAATCTCTAAACCCTGTCATCTTTTTGGGATTAATTGATCCCAAACCCTTTAGAAATTTAACTGGTTTCCGAGTTATAATTAAAACAGGATGAACAGCGGAAGGCGGAGGACATAATGCGTCGGTATCGGGAGACTGAGCATATGGAACAGGAACGTCTCAAGCGTATTCGGGACAAAGAAGAGAAACTTGCCGACTGGATACGCAAGAAGGAAGAGGAGATGAAAGGTGAAGGAAAAGTAGCTGTAAAAAACTTACAGCATTTCACTTTAGACACTAGTTGACTGTTCCTGGATTGACCTCCCATCAGTAATTGATAGGAATACAACGTACCTACGTGACTGGGTGTATTGACTTACTCTGGTAGTTTTCAGAATCCTTCTTGATATCTCTAGGAAATTATTGAATTAAGTAAATAATAAATTAATAAATATTAGATACCATCACATATGTTGCTCTGATCCCAAAGTAAGCAGGTGAGCTAAAGCACATGTGATATGGAAATCGGAAACAACGACGGTACCACAAACACCCAGCCCCGTGACAATATACGTGGGATGCACTATAAGTTTCCAGAATGAGTAAGAAAAAAATACTATATATGGTCAGAAATGAATTTATTGCTTCTCAAAATATTCTCCGTTTTTACGGTTTACGGTTATTTTTACGGAGTTTGTAATATATACAATAACTTCCGTCAAACAAATGGTCGTGTACCAATAACTATTCACGGTACAACGATTCTCCAAAGCAACAGTAGCCACGTGTCCAGTTTTATTAGAAAAAGAAGCAATCATCCGCTTAGAGGCACTTTGCACGCGCGGCACTTTGGTTGGTTTCGGCTCATCTCGAAAGACCCATACGCTCGATAGCTGCTTTGTCTTGGAATCGTAACTATAAATCCATTTTTCGTCACCTGTTACTATGTCCCATACCAAATTTGACTCCCCTTCTTTGAATCTGGTATGCATGGCATTGCACCAAATGACGCGATCCGTTTTTTGAGCCTCAGTCAAGTTGTGTGGGATCCACCGAGAGCACAGCTTTTTCACACCCAAATGTTTGTGTAGTATTGATTGTATTTGACTCATGCCTATGCCTAAAGATGCCCGAATCTCATGGTATGTCACATGCCTGTCTGTTTTGAACATTCGGCGCACCGCATCGATGTTTTTGTTGTTCACAGCAGTGGACGGGCGACCATCACGAATTTTGCCACTGAGATACCCACGACCGCGTTTGAATTCTGCAAACCAGCTATAAATACTTAGTCGTCTTGCATGGTGCTTTTTCGCCAAAAGCAGTTTGAAGCCGAGCGAAGCTCCGCCGAGCTGTTAAATTACACTTAAAGTCGTAGAAAATCATACTACGAACATTTTCACGAGTTAAAGCCATGGTGATGTAGACAACCAATTTCTAAAATGACGCCACAATGTAAAAACAAGTGACAGTCAGATGAAACAAGCTGTATTCTACAGCCAAAGAGTTCCATTTTCAAATTACTTTTTAAATATTGTTTATGTAAGTGGTCAGTTCCGGAAACTTATAGTGTGTCCTATGTAGTTAAAAACCATGCAGCAACAATGGCTGAGGTACAAGTATATTAGGCATTTATAATATTTATTGCTATTACATGATATAAAGTTTTGTGTTGTATGTTTTGTTCAGCGATGAAGACACGCGAGGAGCGGCGCGCTGCGCGCGTGGCGATCGAGGGGGAACGTAGACGCGTGAACGGCGAACGCGCCTACCGCGATTGGTTGCGTACCAGTAAGAATAAGCCGTTGCCCGTGCCACTCAATCAAGGGGAACTTAGTGAGTTATTTCCCTTTACTACAGCCAACATACGACCGTCGTTTTGTCTTCATCGATCTAGAGCCTAGATTCTTCGCGCATTCTAAAGAAATGAGGTCGAAGGGAGTTGGTAAAAAACTTACCAACTTAAATAGCACTAAAGATTCACGTGCCATAGAAAAAATGTAGCGCTAGAGGAATGTCGAAGATACATGGCGAAATCAATCGCAAATCGAAGCCTTACTTTCTCAAACTCGTATCTTATACCTAGTAATTATGAAGAAAATGGCAAAACATTCTATTTATTTAAAATTTCTTATCCAAAGGTGTTAATTTGGATACATTGCTTTAAGAATAGATAAAAACTAGTGTGTAAATATGAAGGAAATGCGGTGCGAAATCAGCCTGCGAAATTTGTATATGCAATCCATTTTTTGCATTTCATTAACTTTCTGGTTTAAGATACGAGTTTGAGAAAGTAAGGCGACGAAATAGTTTTTGGTATTCTCAGAACCTCATGACGTGAGCTCTACAATGCCTATGCCTAACGCTTGGTGAATAGTATAGTCATATACACAAGATACCTAACCCCCCACAGCCGACTTTGGTTCTGAGCAAAAAGAGAAAATTGTTAAACAAACCTAACCTTTAACCTGTGAGCTGTAAAATTTATTCTGATATGACTTCCTGGTCGTCTCATTAGTGAATGAAATTGTAAGAAAGTGTTTAAGCCAATTTGATCTTTAACGTATGGTTCTTATTTAAATACAGAATACAAATTTCAACCAGCTTTAGTAAGACCGTCGTGGCCTAGCGGTATAAGGATTGCGTTGCATTTGAGGCAAGCGTGGTTCGAGTCACATTAAAAATAAAATGTTATTTAGCTATGACTATATGATATTGTATTTTTTTTGTTTTTATACTCTGGATAAGTGTAAGGAATGTCTAAGTCTTGTTCATACAGAACAATAATTTCTAATTTTAATAATTCCGTTAAGTGCGGCATATTAAAACAAGAAAGAAAACTTTTGAAGTCACTAAAACTTTGAAAGTAATTAAAACTGAATAGATAAATTGGAACGAAACGTGGAACAATGCGTAATCACAGAAGACACGATCGTATGCAAACTGCAGAGCGATTTCGTGACTTGTTAATCTATCCGTACCCAACCTACACTTTATTAATAATATCTACCCACCCACTTTAATAATAATATAATAATACCTTAATAATATGTACCTACTTGTACCAACCTTAGGCAATTTCTAGTGAGCATATGTTGCGATTTGTCAACGTTAACATTAAAAAGTGAAACAATGCTGTTAAAAATATAACAACGTAGTGCTCGTCGAATCGAACCACGGGTATTGTAATTGGCAGTCGATACAACAAGCCGCTCGATATTTACTTGGATGTTAAATGACGAAATTTAGTATTCGTTTTAAAAATGTTAATAATTTTCAAGCAACACTCCACTGTATTGCTTATATGATAAAGTTGAAATTGTTTTAATTTTTTTTTGCTGAATACGTAAGATGGCTCTCAGAACCAAAAGGTCGGTTTGGACATGTAACGGGGTCAGGTATCTCACGTACATGACTGTAGGTACTTACCTTTCCTGTTTATCAATGAAAGTTTTTGAAAGTTAAGGTGCCTATAAATACGATCGACAATGTCGATTAGGTGCTTACAGATATGCTCGACATTAACGATATTATATACGTTTTCGAGTTGTTTGGGAGTGCTTATTGAGAATATGGCATTAATTTCTAAATCAAGATGGTTGGCAAGAATTTTCAAAAATTTATTTTTGGTAGTCCTTATGGAAATGGCATTTCTATCTGAATACATGATGGCGGACACGACTTTTCGCATTTCTAAATGCAAGATGGAGAGCACGATTTCTCAAATAATGGCAAGTTGGGTATCGTTTTCGAGGTATTTGGGGATGCTCATTACGAATATGGCACTCATTTCTAAATTCAAGATTACGAGGTATTTGGGGGTGCTGATACGTATGTATAAATATATGTCTTGTTTGCGCTGCGACGCGATCATCGCGTGTGCCGACAGTAATAAACGGACCGTGTTATCTAACTTTACAAACACCTTACTGGCGACGAGATACGTACCTACCCGCGCGTGTGTGTGAATTTTTCTATTTTATTTAAAATATCGAATTGTCTTTGAAATATTAATGTGTTTAATCACAATGAACGAGAGTGGTCAGTGTTTTACGGGAGGTTAAAACAATTTTTAATACAAAACGACGTCAAAAACGACAAAAAGGGTCCGTTACTACTCACTCATTTGTCGGATGACACATAACAGGATTCTACAAAATTTAATTCACCCGAAGAATTTGGAAAGTGCGGCGTATAACGATTTATTAGCCGCGCTTAACAAGCAAGAGCACTAGAGATGCTACTGACAAATCGTTTCGTCCTAGGCATGAGCGTTGATCCCGAGCGTGACCGCCTGTTCGAATAGGATGCTGCAACTCTCACTTTGGCGAAGGCGCTGGAAATCGCGCAGCAGTCCTCGTGTACGCGCGAATCTCGGACTGCAGGCACGAGAGGCCCTCACACTTAAAGGAAGAACCAATGTATCACGTGTCGGTAGGCAGCGGGCTCGCGGCCGGTCCGCGTACGGACAGAGGTTCGGGTGTAGGCGCTCGCGATCAGTATTCTACGTGTTCTGTGTGTGGTTTAAAAAATCATGTTTCGCAAAAGTGTCGATATAAGTCTTATGTGTGTCAAAATTGCGGAGAAAAAGGGCTCCTAAAAAGGCGTGTACTGTAGTCTAGGCTCTACTCTATGAGTAGAACTACTGGCTGAGTGAATCTAGTTTTGTATTTAGAATGTGTTTTGAAATTGCAAATTGCAAACGTGCATAGGTTAGAAAAGAAGAACATCTTGATAGATCAAGAAGTAATCTCAAAAAGTAAATATGTTATAAAATACAATAAATATCAAGTTATGAAGTTAATCTCAGTTTATATTTATAAAGTACCTCTCGCTACGCAACATAAGCTACGGTCCAGTTTACAGTACAAGGAAACTGAGTATCCGCGTTAATAATATTGGAAGTGAAGGTGAAGGTGTTGATAATGCGCGCTGTGAGGAGTGCCAAAACTTTAGAATAAAGTACGTGACTGATAAACCAATGCAATTATAATTATTATTGGGGAACAAGACATTAACAATGGAATTAGACACGGGTCGGGTTCTTCTGTGATATCTGAGAACATGTAGAATACATTATTTTCAATGTCCCCAATGGTCATAAGATATCGCCCTTGGGCTATTTTGAAATTGTAACCGAATATGAATAAAATTTTCGTAACGAGCACCTCCAAATACCTCGAAAAGGATACCCATATTTCATTTAAAAAAAAATCGTGTTCGCTATCTTGGATTTAGAAATAAGTGCTACATTCGTAATGAGCACCCCCAAATACTTCGGATACCCAAAACAAAAAGGATACCCAAATTGCATTTATTTGAAAAATCGTGTCCGCCATCTTGGTTTCACAAATTAGTGCTATATTCGTAATGAGCACCCCCAAATATCTCGAAAACGATACCCAACTTGCCATTATTTGGGAAATCGTGCCCGCCATCATTTAGAAATGCAAAAAATTGTGTCCGCCATCATGTATTCAGATATAAATGCCATTTCCATAAGGATTACCATAAATCAATTTTTGAAAATTCTTGGCAACCATTTCGTATTTAGTGTAATGTTTTTGTAAATTTAATGTAAATTAATGCCACATTCTCAATAAAAAAAAGTCTATAATCGACAATGTCGAGCATGTTTGTAGGCATCGACAATGTCGATCATATCTTTAAGCACCTTTAGGTAGTACGCATAAATGTTTTGTAAGAAAAGTATTTCATTGTTATAGCTTTCACTTGTTTCATGTTGTCGGCAGGCATGCGCGGTTCTGTTTCGCAAATGTACATAAATCCTGTTCCATGGCAAACTTGATAGGAGTGTTTGAAGACTATTTGGGTGCGATTAGTATATTTTAAGTAATTTATTTTTGTTACTCGCGTCCAAACACTGTATAGCGCCTCGTTAGACAACAAAGTGCTTTGTTTATCCCTATTTATTTGAGAGTAAATTTTCAATTTTGTATATCTTTTGCCCAAATATACCTAATTTATATCAGGATTATTGTAATACGACCTTAGTTTCGTTTAGACAAAATAAAACAAAGTTGTTTTAGCGACATAGTTTTATTATTACGATGATAAAATTTCCGAGATATCAATAGGGTCCCCTCGAGTAGAAATTCGTGTAGAACAAATATAATATTATAGAAAATATTCAAATGTTACTCGACAAATTCGGCACACATACTAATTTTCTTTGTATCTAAATAACGAAAACTTTGCAAATTGCAAACGTGCATTACAACAAGCAACTAAATATATACATTGATTTCAGCCCGTATCCATAAGTACATTCTATAAGCCACAGCCATTTGTTTGATGAATCGAATTATGTATTTTGGAACTAACTTTTGTCTACAATTTACCTACTGTAACAATATACGACAGTCTACAAGATTGTCCAGCTAACAGAGAACAATTGTAGTCATAGTAAATAGAAACCAAGAATATACTTGACCGACGAAACATTTTGAGTACAATCATAGTTAGAAATAAGGTTTCAGAAACTTCTCTGATAACTTTTCAATCTGTTGCAAGTTTACTTTTAAGATTCTCGATCACGTTACGTCGACTCACGATTAAGATTCGCAGGTATATCAATAGATTTCCTCTTCTTCTTTGAGACGCAGTATGTCAGATTTGTTCATAAAATAGTAGGATGGTTGTCGGCCTTTCAGGTCTTTTAAGACACGCTTTGCACCGGAACGGATTAATATCCTACTCAATGATTCTATTTTGTCTACTCCCATCGCATAATGTAGTGGAGTGCGTTCCAGCTGAAAAAAAATACAAGAAATAGTAGAGGCAGTACTTCCCTGGATGAACGGTTTTACAAGGAGCTCTACTGGTACAAAAAGCCCAAGTTGCAATTGGAGTTGAATATTATGTAGTTGTTTATATGGTAATAGAAGCAGGTAACTTCTTACATTGTCCCCAATGCGCAACAACTCCGGACAAGTTTGCGCCAAGTATGCAACGACTTCTTCATGCTGTGCCAATACACCGATGTGAAGGGAAGTCCTCCCGAAGGAGTTCTGCGCTCGGGCGAGGGTTCTGCCGCCTTCCGCTGCGACGGATGCTTGAACTTCTGTTAAATCCCCTCGTCTGATCGCACCATGGAGACTTTCTCTAGACTCCTGAACAAGTAAATTATACTACTCTTCACTTGTATATAATTGCCTCCGTGGCCGAACGGTTACCATGTCGGACTGCCACGCAGAGGTCCCAGTTTAGGGTTCCCGGGCCGGGAGAAATATTTGTGTGGCTTACATTTAATTTTCTCATGAGTTTGGGTGTAATTTGTGTTATCTATGTGCGTGTCCATGGCAACCGCTACGATAAACCGGGGCTATGTTCAATGTGTGCGTTTATTATTATTATTTTTATTTATATTTTAAACTCCCGCCTTTCCCAAGGCCTAAAAGATTATTATTATTCGATTATTATTATTATTATTATTTGGCCGACTTAAAATATTAACACTAAAACGTAATTTGTAATAGGTGCAAAACAATCATACAAAAATCACTTTGTTTTAGTAGATACGTTGCGCCATAGGTAAAGAGAACATTACAGAGTATTACATTTTACATAATTTACAAAAATAGTTTTTATAAAATTAGTAACAAATGGTAATTAATACCTCAAAGGCAGGTATTGAAGCTAACAAATTGCTCATTTCGGTGTGTCCTCGCTGTGCGATGATATCTGTGATCGCAACTCCGTCTTCGTCAACTATGTCCAGTATGTGGTCGTAACCTTCCATTAGCAGTTGCATTATCTTTTCGGTATTACCTGGAATTCACAGAAAAATCTAAAATAAACGGCGACGATGCTTTGTATGTCTAAATCATACCGTATCATGGATATGGTACCGTATGATTTACTTTACTCTCTTTTTTCTTTTATGACACCGAGTGACGGGACGAACAAGTCGTGCACCTGTTGGTAAGCGACACGCCTGTCCATAATAGTCAACTCACACTGGCGCAGAGTCCAAGCGTCGCGACGCGTCATGTTTTGCGCCTATAGCATATTCAACTCTATTCTCCCAATATTAAGGGTACAAATTTGTGTTATGCAAATATGGAATCGCGCGTCGACGTTTGGTTAAAATTGAGCGGTTTCGCGAAACGCCGCGCGTGACGTGTCAGATGCCGACCGCACTATGATCCGGGCGTACTAATGCGAACGTCGTCGCGCGACGACGCGGGTCGCCATGTGTTGTAGTTAAAAAAGGACGCGACACGACGCTTCGACTCTGCGCTAGTGTGAGTTCAGCCTTACACTGCTTTTCAGAGCTTCAAATCGCAAAGATCTGAGGGTCACTGTCACTGCGCCCATCACCTTGGGACATAAGTTGTAAAGTTTCATGTATAATTTTGGACTCTTGAGATGAAGAAAAGTTATGGTCAGGTTTATATTCTTTGGTCTTATGCATAGCGTGGATCGGCGCAAATGTGAGTACTCGCATTAAATTATCAAGTGCTAAAAATTTGTCAATTATCTAGCCTTTATCTGATGTTTAACAACCTCGTGGTAGAAGAATCTGAGACTGGTTCCACCTTAGCACACGATCCCTCTTCAAAAACGAGAATAGCCATGATGGTCGCCATCCTTTGTAGAGAAGGGGCACACTAAGAAGAAGAATCTGATGTTTCCTTAGCTGTCTTACCTCTAGCAGCGAGATGTAAGACCCATCTGTCTATTTCCGCAGTATTTTCATGCACGTTTGCTTGTATGGAGACATCTCTGGCCGTGCGGTACAGCTCATCGCGGTAGCCCAGGCTTATGTCAGATTCCTGCAGAAGCTGAAATAATGCGTTCCGTGTGTGTGTTCGTGCCGCCGCGAAATGTAGCATCGATTGACCATGTTCATCCTGATGAAGACATGTGAATGTTTATTGTATCTAGATAATTAAGTCTACAGATTAATTTGTAATTTACTAGTTCTCAAATTTTTCATGGATCATTTGCAGCCATCAAACGAATTAATTGGTCGTAGGTAGCAAGTATCATGTTTTAATGCTTGACTTATCATAGCAAGATTACATTTCAGTATGTTACGTACTCTATTAACGCTGCTGAAGGCGGCTTCAGGTGCATCAGGACTGGCTTCGGGCTGGGGCTCGATAGTGACGACGTCAATAGGCCGGTGCGGGCGCGTGGCGGTTCGTGCCGCGTCGCGTGGTTGGCCCTTTGGCTGTGACGCCGTTCGCTCTCTCTCCACCAGTTGTGCCATTGCTTCTGACACCAGCCCTGGTGGCGGTAGTTCGTTTTCCACCTCTGCCGCCTCTCTTGTCACTATCAGATTTGACTCCTGTTTACAAAATTATTTTCTAATCTGGTTCATGCACGCTAAGTAAGTTGCACTACCATTGGTTTTTTTGACAAGATAAAAAATAGACTTATTAGAAGTACGGTAAGTAGGTAAGATAAGTAAGGTATGTAGGTAAGATAAGTAAGCTATTTTTTATATAATTTCCTAAATAGTCCAAGCGCAGACAAATTAAAATCGTAAAAACCCCGAACAATAACTGTCGGTATGATGATTATGCTTTCATTAAATCATGATTAAATCTCTCTAATGAGTGAGACCACTGAGATATAATACTGTTTTAATACAGTTTCAATATTGTTGCTATATATTATAGTGCTAGAAATCACGGGATCACTATATTTCGCCAAGATGCGAGCGTACAAGCAAATTATTGCATTCAACATGCGAAGTATAAAACACTATCATTGTAATACAAAATCAATAAAATATTAAAACGTACTTGTTGCGACGTAGCTATTGAAAACATGCAAAGGCCAAGCTCACCTGCGTACCTAAACGTGGTTTCTCGTTTTCCGGAAAATTCTGGAGGAAACTCGCGAGAAACGCAACGGGATCCTTAGGTTTTACATTAGCCACTTCGGTCAGACCTTTGATTAAAGGATCGCCGAGAGCTGCAAACACATCGTTTACTTCATCCACATTCACTTTATACATTTTAAATTGCATCAATTCACTTTACAAAAGTTTAATATTGGCTTACACTTGGCGAGGTATCTGCCCTCGTCGGTTTTAAATGTGGGAATGTCCATGTGTCCATTAGCAGTGTCACTCGTACCTGAAAACGATCAATTATTCAAACGGCCTTCGAAACGTACGTGTGCGGCGGGCACGAGGTTTGGACATATGTACTACGTGGGAACTTTATAGTTGTAGGCGTAGTTTGTAGTTTCGGGGTGGTGGTGGTATCAATTTCTAATGGCATCTATGGACTAGTAGAACTCTGTTAGCACACGTCGGTCATAATTTATTCGACCACCTTTATTGATCGTACATGGTGACTGGCAACGACTTTTTATGGGTCATTCGGGTGTGATGTAGGGTTGATTTGTAGATTTACCAAATTTGAACTTACAATTTAATATTTGTTTAATGCTTATCTGTTTTGATATAAATGAAAAAGGCAGTAATTTTAATAAAATTACATGATTTAATAGTTGACGAAATAACAACACACACTTATCTAATGTTGGAAAGATTGCTACGGGTGGTGGAGAGCGTGCATGATTGCAAAGCTTTATTCAACCTCAAACCGTGACAAAGCGTGAACGTTGCAGACACGTCGCTGAGTTGTTAACAAACGGACACCGGACACGCGAACTCACACGAATACGAATAATATCAATATTTACTGACCTAACTTCAGCAGATAGCAATCTAAAGTTGATCCCGCAGCAGAAAGTGCTACTTTCAGCACCTATAACATCTTTCCAACATTCGATAAAATCATTATAAAAAGTGAAAGCTAAAGTGAAGATAATGCAAATAATAATAATTATTAATTTAAGTTATTTTTGCAGATTAATAGTGTGGGTATTTTTCTGGACTATCTAAATCTGCAACGCTGCTTCTTTTTCTCTTGAATATATTCGATAGTATAGTTGCAATGTGCGCTGAATTCTGCATAGACAAATCTTTTTCCAAACGAAGCAAGTTTGATATGGCTGTTACAAAATCGTTAAAACAATTTGTTTCGGTAGTCGATAAGCATTGGTAGTTGCTCACTCTTACTATGTCAGGGCTTGATGTCTCTCGGTACTGCAGCCCGCGCATGGCGCACAAATGTCTCAGATTTTCAGCATCTTTAGATAACCCAGGAAAGTTAATAATTAAGCTAAGTCGAATGCCTGCTCCTAAAAACGTTGGCCTACTGGACAAGTGACCAAGTCTATAGTCCCAGACAAACTCAAGTCGCTCATGAAGGTATGTCATTATTTGAGTAATTTTACTGAAAGGTAAGCCAATTTCTCCAGGAACATCTGTTGGCGTGGAAACAAGCACGCGTATGTGATCATGAACGTTGATCCATATAGCGAGAGTTTTATCATCGCTAACGAAAACCCCTCTACCATAAGGCCAATGAGCGCCGTGTAGGCGAGCGCAGTCATCTATTTCACCTCTATCACACAGGGCTATTAAGAGCCCAGATGAAGCTAAAGTAGCACATATTTCAGAAGGCTTTTCCAAAACTTCATTCAAAGTGTAGTAACTTCCTCCCTTGTGTTCTGATTCGGGGTTCGTTTGCTCGATGAATTTCGAAAACTCTTTTTGCATTAATAACGCTGTTATTATTCTTTCAATAGTCTCTAGTTTTCCGATTTTAAGATTTAAAGGCAATTCAAAACTAAGTAAGTTCCTTGCACATTCGATCGTTCCAGACAGTACAAATTCGTCATTAGGATCAACATTGAGTTCAACAAGAGGTTCAGAATTTTTCCTGGACATTACCAGAGGCTTATTAGTATCAAAATCCGTAGGCGGATGAAGTGGGAATTCGGAATGAACATTATAATTATGCAAATCCTTGATGAGCGGTGTTAAAAATTCGTGGAAAACTTCATAAACATAATAATCAGGAGCAGTTATTCCACCAGGAAAATCTTCTTCAACAGTTTGTACAATATTTCTATTTTCGGGTAACTTTTTTAATGCTGGCCAAATGACGTCGAATAAATCGTGATCCATTTTTGTTACTCTGTATTTTATGGCATCGAAGATAGGTCTTTTTAAGAATCTGCCTAGCACTAATGGTGGGGCCGCTCTATTTGATGAAGCGGAGAGTGGAGTGCGAGCTGACCCAGCTGAAGCTAGCAGCCGGTAACAACGTTCAAGGGTGTCCAAAGCTTCTGGAGCATCCAAAATACGTCGAGATGATACGCGATCTTCAGGCACTATTATTGAATTAAGGAATATTACATTTAATGTTATTATTGATTAATTATAGTTTTGGTTCTTTTATATACATACCTTTGTCGGATAGCATTTCTTTTGCTGTTTCTTCACTAATACTGAAATCAGATAATAATTGCGAGTAACGAAGTACGCTGGGATCTTTAAAGTAATCTTCTGCTGACCGTCCACTCTGCAAAGTAAAAAAAATTGTAAAAAAAGTCTAATACCATTTTTGATTAGTTGCCTTTTACTTACGTCATCCAAATCCTTTGCATTGGCGCCGAGTTGTTGGAGCATATTGTAGTAATAGCCATTGTCTGGTATAACCGCTGCATAATGCAATGCCGTTCTACCCTCAAAGTCAACAGCAGATAGAGTTTCGGGGAACCTAATGCAAAATTCAAAATAGGGTAAAATTTTAAGTAAAATATTATTATTAAAAAAAGAGACGCTACTGACCTGCCTCCTAAATATTTGACAATGTTAGTCTTTCCACAAACGGTGGCAACATGAAGTGGTGTGGCGCCATTTGGTGATATAGGATCACGAGCTATAGCAAATTTTCGCCTATCTAATGCGGTTTGTAGGTCTCTTAAGTTTCCTTCCCTGGCTGCTAGATGAACTTTGTTAATTTTTTGCTATAATGTAAAAACATATTATATATAGACCTTTTACAAGTTAGAAATTAACAGATGCACCATAGTAATTCGATTTTATGATGGCCCACTTACCATGTATATTGGTACATTATCTAGAAAAGCTTGTAGTTCGACATTTCTTGATCTTCTTCCTACTAATCTTGATCCTTCGCCATTAAGAACTAATGTAGCTAACATTTCCATGTTGGCTGTGTTTATTAAATCTGTTACTTCCGGGTCTATTTGGTCCTGACAAATGTGACAAAATAATTTATTAAGGTGAAATTAAACTACACAGAAGACGTTAAATCAAAATCACAACTTTGGTGATAGGCATTCGCGGACTAAGATATTAAACAATGTACATACTAAGAAGCTAGCAAATAAATTTGTATGGTGGTGGTATCGTTAAAAATGGTGTCTATGTGAAATACTGAGTGCTACATTGATCTAACTAAGTAACACCACAACCAAGTACTGTACTTATTACCTTGATCTGTCGCATTCGCATGCTTCATTTATGAATTATACTTACAACGACAAGTATTTCTTCTTGGACTGTCTCATCTTTTTGTGTAATACTTGCATCTTGTGAGTCTAGTTCGGCTTCTCCACTGATAATCCCTTCAATAAGACTTTCCTGAGTATTTCGCCCATCGGTGTCGTTTCCTTAATTAGCAAAATAATGAAAAATATTGAACTTATCAGGGACCCCCGTGTATTTGAAGAGTAAATGTGTTGATTGTTTATGTTTTGATTGTTTCGTGTGTAGTGCCAGAAGAGATGTCAGCGTTACCTCTCTTGGCACTTGCTGTGTTAATTACTTCGGCTGTGCTACGTTGATGAATATCACTGTACTCAGAGTTAGAATCTCCCTGAACTTGCACATCTTCATCGTCTTCAATGTTATTACCTTCTTTTGTAGGAACTTCTTCTGTGCCTTTGGTTGTTTCACCCATTTCCTTGTCCTCGTCAGGATTTTGTACTATGTCTTCGGGAGAATTATTTTCATGTTCATCATGAGGTTCTTCATTATGTGCTTCGTGCTCTCCCTGCACGTTATCTACATCGTTATCGTCTATTTGATCTGTTCCATTGTTTTTGTTGCTGTCCAATTCTTCATTGTTATGAGACGTATTAATTCCATCCTCCTTTTCTTTATGATCATCGTTATCTGCTTCGTTTTCAGTCTTTTCATCACCTCTATCCTCTGCGTCTACTTCAGCGCCATTTTCATCGTGTTCAACCTCTGCATCTTCCCCGTCATCATGTTCATCTTTATTTTCATCATTTTCTTCTTCTTCATCCTGATTGCTTTCGTTGGTATTTTTATCATCTTCATCGTTCCTAGATATTTCTTCAATGTTTTCTGCATTTTCAGAAGTCTCCACTTTGGGAGTTTCTTCGTTGTGTTCTGTTGAATCTTCATCCTTTGTAACGGTAGTTTCCTCGACTAACTCGGAGTCCTAAAATTAACAAAGTAAATATTCATGCAAATGTTTATTAAGCGACGCAAATCAACTATAATAACATTCCGTGAGAGTGCCGTGCATTCCTCACCTTATTAGTTTCTGCGTTTCCATTATATCTTTTATTACTTTCATCTAAGTCAGGCAAGTCCTTTATCATGTCATGAGTACTACTCGCTTTCATACCTCTACGATTGTTGTAAGTGTTTTCCGAAACGCTATTGGAAGTATTCCTTGAGGAAATATTTTCATTTGAAGCTTTCAAATTCTTTTTCTTGGGTTTTTTGTTAAGTTCCACTATTGCCTCTGTATCTAGCAATTTCCAGTCCCAAGAAGGAGGATAGGCACTAGACGCAGTTCTGGGAGCTTCAGGTAACATTTTCAGCAGATTTTTATCGATTTCTTGGGGTCTATTGACGTAATAGCCCGGAACACGGTTTTTCTAAAAATAAAATAACTTTAATCAGTTTTACACACGTGCTTCATAATTGCTTTCATAGTCAAGTGTGTTGTTATTGTCAAGTGATTAAATGTGTTATATAGGTGGAGCGTAATATTTTTTGTGTTAAGTTTTTAAAATTAAATGTGTGTGTTCAATGGCCATTACTTACGTTATCAAGAGCTCCTTCGTCAGCTCCAAGACTAACTAATGTATGGTAAATGTGCAAATCGTCTCTTACGGCCGCCGCGTAGTGCAAAGCCGTGCGTCTATCGTTGTCCACGTCATTTAAACCTTGAGGATACCTATCTGTAATATATCCTAATATACCGCCATGCCCTAAACCTGCAGCCTAGAAATAATTAGTGCGTTTTTGATCATTTGTTTATGGACTTTAACGATAATTTAGATTTTTTTTGTAGTTCATTGTCTTTCTTACCTTATGCAAAACAGTCATATTATGGCTGTCTCTACTAGATAGGATCTGCGGTGGTACTGGATCCCCAGCAAGCTTCATCAACCCTTCCAAATCATTCTGCACTACGGTGTTGTGGATCTCGCGAATTGTGTTCTGGAATGTTTAATAAATTGATTGGAATTTTATTTTATGGCAAGGAAACAGAAAATCCTTTTCAACCCAGTTACGACACTCCTGAAATTAGCAATAATATACTACTCTTAGTAGGTGCACATTGTTTAGCTATATTGTCTGCTTTCCATTACCGTTAGAAATATATATTTAGTAAAAATCATTAGCATATATAATTATTAATACAAAGATGGAACACCAAAAAAAAGTTCTTCGATCCGGCTGGTTTCGAACCAGCGCCTTCAGCCTATCGCAACGCTTTCCCAACTGAGCTGCTGAACGAACCAGCAAACCTTACGAATTTTTGTATGTGTTTGTAGCGGTTTTTTTGATTTTAATGACTTTTTTGCCGTTGTGCTAACTGTGAGAAATGTATGAAAGTTTTTTTTCATTAGGTATCTATCTGTCTTTGTATGATAATACACAATAATATAACAAACTGGGGACCTACCACAACCTATTAAAACAATATTACTTTAACCTTACATTGACTTTTCGTACCATAATGCGCTTAAAGTAAGCTTATTGCAATGTTAAAACTATGATGTTTTATTGTCAGTTTTGTGACTATTCATTCACTCAGTTCGTACTATGACGCGACTTTAACATTAAAGTAATATTGCTCTTATGTCAAATTTAGCAATCATAAAATAGTTACACGGATGCAATGGAAACAATATTATTTGCAGTTTTATTGTCTTAATATTGATTTGTAACGATAAAAAGGTAAGTTGAACTTATTTATTTAGATATCATATCAATATTTTGTTCATTTTTTATTTAATAGGCACATGCGAAAAATTTTTCGTTAAATAAAAATACGCGATGTTTATTTTGTAAAATTATGACAGCGCCATCAATATGCTCCTTGGCGAAGCTAGCAGTTGAAACTAGACTATAATTCCGAATTCACAACGTGACTATCAAGGCTCACCTTGTTTTATTATTTTTCTTCATGAAAATGCGGAAAAATTATTGAAAACAACGTAATTTGAATAGGTTTTATTACATACATACTTTTCTTTTTTAACAGTCAAAATTCTCTGAATGTAAATAACATTATGTACTTAAGACGATACGAAATATTAAAAAAGAAACAGTTTAAAGGTATAAAGGAATTATATGGTTCACATATCGCGTTATCTCTTTCCTATTTTTAGTAAGGAATGGACAATTCTTGGGAAATATTCGTTCTTTCAATCACTTTAATAATAATACATTACTTGGGTGACAGGTTTGTCATGGCACGAATATGACTAATATTTTAATAAAGCTTACTTTAAGCTTACATTGAAATGAGATTGTTTTTGGTAAGGTTATGGTACGCCCCCTGGTGGAGTAATTTCTTAAAAAAAATGGAAAAACATAATGATAAACTTAATATTACAATTAGCATGTATGTCATTTTTTCCTTAATCTACCGGAGGAGAAGCGACAAAAACCGTTTTGCTAGATCAAATGGTTTAAATATTTACTATTAAATAACAGCATTACAAAAAATACACGAGACACCTAAGGGTATTAGCTAAAAATGTGCTAGTTTGTTACAGTACTTCGTGTAATCCTTACTTCACCCGATCATATTAAATCTTGAAAACAAACTAAAATAAAAGTGTAAAACGAGTTTTTCATGAATGAAATATTTAACTTGCACATGATTTTTATATGGATATATTTTTCTTTAAGCACTAGAGAGAATAGAAGAACATTTATTTTAAAATTTGAAAGTTGCCCAGCGGTTTAACGACATGACTCGCCGCCCGCTGCCTAGTCAGTCGCCATTGGGCGCTTGTGGACGTCGAATTTGTGTTAAATTTTCTCCGTCTGTTCTTATTTTATAACCGACTTCAAAAAAGGAGGAGGTTCTCAATTCGACTGTATGTTCTTTTATTTTCGTATGTATGTTACGCGAGAACTCCGGTATTTGTGAACCGATTTTCATGATTATTTTTTTGTTGGATAGGGGGTATTTCCATAGTGGTCCCATTTCATTTTGAAGAAAATCATCCACCTCAAAGGGTGGCTGTTCACGCATGAATATTTATTTTTATAAATAGCGCATAACTTTAATTTAGGAGCAATTACTTTTAGCAATAATTTAGTTGAATTTGCTATTTCTCCAATTCAAGGCGTTTTTCTCTCGATATACTTTGAGTAGTGTCGTAGTGAGAACCTATTTTTATTATCTCCAGTATCAAGTCCTGTATAGTGGCGAAGTGGGAATATTTCAATGAAACTTAGCAAATAGACGTAATTCCACGTACTTTTGAGGTCGGTTTTTTTAGTACTCTGTACTGATTCATATTAATTTACGCGGGTTGCGGGACGCGAGATGCGGCCCTCCGCACCTCACCTCCTAAAATACAACGCGAGACGCGTAGAAGTACCTCGTATTAATAGAAGCACTGTTTTAGAGCGGGAAAAATTTAAGGAAATACGCAAATGAAATAGCTCATGTGTACTAAATCTTACCATAATGTAAGGCACAGCTTCGAGGAACTTCTTGACGACGGGCTGGTTGGACACTTCGCTGAGCAACCTCGTACCGTGGCCCTCCCACACGACGCGCTGCAGTCGCGCCATGTCGCAGTCGTGACACCATATTCGGATCTTGTGCCGGGTTATCACTAGCCCTATAAGAGTGCAAAAAAATATCATCGCCTCTGCAAGGTGCTTTTGCGAATGGAATGTAGAACTGTTGTTTGTAGCAACGGCGGTAAACTTCGGTATAAAGACAAACAAACAGATATAGAAAGTAATTTAGTAATAAATAGGGTTATTAGTAAAATGCTAAAAATCCAGCAGGTCTATATTATATTTATATCATGAACAACAACTTATGTTCCATGATTTTTGGCGCATCTTAATAAATTTACCAAAAATAATCTTTATATTATTATAGCAACGCCTGTCGCATGCTTTGTTTTGCTACGGCACCGAGTTTTCACTGATTAGAGCGATTTATTTGAATATTTTTATTTTTGTACGAAAATATAATCTGACGAATTAATGACAGTAATGAAACAAAAGTTGTTGTGGTTGTAGGTTGTTGTAGGTATTTTGTAAATAATGTTGTATAGAAGAGTGTTTGCCACAAATAAGATGTTTTGTAAAATGCGGTTAAAAGTATATGACAAAATTGATCTGCGGATGCATTCCAAGGTATTTAAACAAAAGTAAATTTAAAATTATTCACCTTTTCATACCACGCTACCTTAAAACGCAGTAACAAAATATAAGAAATGTTTGCCATTAGACATTATTTATTTAATAGTTTATTGTACAGAAAAAAATACAAAAAATCACAATTAATACAAGGAAAATACAAACAAAAGGTTCTGCTTATTTCTAACAGAAATTTCTTCCTGTAGACCTAAATACAGGACACTATTAACTAAACGAACGGGTTTACGTGCACAATACAACAAAACAAAATGTAATATAAAAACAATATAATAACATTAAAATTCATATTTATATAAATACATATTTCAAAATATAATACCCAAGATATGGACGGGATAGTAGATAATATAGATATGAATAGATAATGCTCTTTAACTCTCACTTTAAAAATAGCTAACGATTTACTTTCGTAAACAGTAATAGGAAGTGCATTCTAAAGCCTGACCGCATGAACAGTGAAGGAGTGAGAATAGAAACCGGAATTGAATGATGGAAAAGATAACTGCGACCTAACAAGAGAGCGACAGGGTTTATATTGGGACCTAAGAATGCTAAATCGCTCTTTCAGGTATTCGGGAGACACAGAGTTATATAAGATATTATAAAGAATGGACACAATATGCAAATTCCTACGGAAACGAATAGGATATATTGTGTTGTTTTAAACCGAAAATTCTACGAAATACTGGCAATAGCATTGTATCGACTTCCTGTCAACAACGGCACTTACATGACAGGGACTTCTCGAAGGTGACTGGGCCGAGGACAAATATTCAATTAAGTTCGCGGTTTGACTACTCACTGATTGATGGAAAAGTGGTTTAATGTCAACATTATTTCTACTGAAGCACGCGACTGTACGTCGCTAACAATTTATATTACCATCTGTATAGTGTACAGGGTTCGATTCCCTAGTTTTATTTTCCCTATGAGGGTAGAAAATCAAACAAAGGAATCCGAAAATTGGATTAATTATAATAAAAAATAAATTACAATTGAAATATAAATTTTTGAAAAAAAAATGGTACATGAATTAATTTTATTTTACGAGTCGTGGTAACGGGCCTTAAGGCTTTTGCTTTTCGTAATTCGTAAGATCTGCTGACTCGGTATGTAGCTCAGTTGAAAGAGCGATTGTCCCAGTCAGGCATAAAAACACTGGTTGATATCCAGTCAGATCGAAGAAATTTTCCTTTGTGGTTGTTCGGTCTTTAATAAGCGGGGCTATCTTGAGTGTGTGCGTTATTAAAAAAAAATAATAACAAACAAGTGGAGTGTTTTTGTAACAATATATGAATAATATAAAAGTATGATATTATATTTCACACTCATAGCTCCGCGCCAGTAAAACCCTGTATCGCGGGTACCATGGACACATAGTCAACCACAAATCACGCCCAAATTCACTACAGAAATAAATGTAGGCCATAAAAATATTTCTCCCGGACATATGCGTGGCAAATCAGAATGGTAACCGTCTGGCATTGAGATACCGCAAAACGAATTTTAAGTTTATTATCAACATTATAATTAGAACAAACTATATAATGCAGTAATGTCACAAAAAAATAATTAAATATCAGGGTGATGAAAGATCCTGACACACAATAAAACTTAATTACAATTAGTAAAGTGACATCTCTAGTCAGCGGCTGGTAGCTGTAAAGGTACCTCGCTGAGTGATGAAAAACTTTTATGTTCCTCACAGATAGCGTTACGGCAAAAAAGTCGTTAAAACCCAAAACAAAGATCTGCATCAGGCACATGGATAAATTCGTTGGTTTGTTCCGTGGGTTAGTTGGCATATCGTCTGGCACGGTGTGATAAGAGACGTTGGTTCGAATCCAACCGGATCGAAGTGAATTTTTTCTAAATTTTTGATCATTGTTTAACGATTGTAAGAAACTAGTGGAGTAATTTCACAAAAAAAAGAAGAACAAATATCATGGTGGTCAAACGTCCTGACATTCAATAAAACTTAATTATAATAAAAATGGTCAAACAACAAGCTCACTCCTCAGAATTTGCCATTTAGAGCACTAAACTAACTATAGTCGGCAAATGTATCCAAGTATTTAAAACTACACTAGAGATATTTGAATAGATATTTTAAAAGTCAAGGTCAATAGAAACCTTAAAAAACTGAATAGTATTTTACGAGGCGGGCGCGTAGATTGCGTGAAAATTAAAACGTGATAGACGTTAATAAATTCACCCTCCTAGGAATCATTTTTCAACTAACTGGAACCTTGTTTTGTTCGAAAAACGTGTTATATTTAAACGGAAAATTCTTGCATTCTTTTTAACCTAACAAGCATTTTCTTATCTATAAATCAGGCAGTTTTGGGCGGAGCTAGTCGAATTTTTCGGCACACCAAAAGAGTTTTAATGGTGTTTACTTGAAGAACTAAATTCAAATTCATTATTACTCAACGGACAGCAAAAATAATTGTAAAAATGCGTTATTATGATTTTTTATTATTGGCGCTAAGAAAACTTCATCATTGCTTCGTCGTCGCTGTGATTTCACAGCAATATTATTATCACCGACATATCGCAATGCCGTGTCTCTTCTCTGAACTCACTTGTTATTGTACCACAATATAGCCCTTAGCAGCGACGGAACCCACTTTAAGAAAATCGAGTCGGAATCTCTATGTTTTTTTAACACCGTAACCAATTTTCTCGATTGCCCTTGCGATTCTCTCGCCTTGAACTTTTCAATCGATTGCAATTCTTACAACACTATTTGTCATTTCGATCAATTTCTTTTAACTTACGACTGTTATTCTATTGACGCAATCAGTATTTTTTGTTATTTGTCACTTGAACAGTATTTTTATGTAATTATGTATTTATTTGTAAGAAAAACCATAAGCGGAACACAGAACACAGTTATTTTTTTCTAAAAAGTTATAGATTTTGGTACATAATTATTATTGTTACGACATATTGAATAAACAATTGCTTCTTTTATTTAGTAATCTGCATTTAAAACTACAATATAATGTAAGTTATTTGGACAAATAAAGTAGGACTGCCATTTTCTCACAATGTTTTTTTATTTTATTCAAGGGAACAAACAAAAACAACAAAACAAGTAGGTGATACAAAAACATCGATTAGAATTAGATATCTATATACTGGCGTACAAGTATTTGATTACAACAATTATGACTGGATTTTAAAGCTTTCGTTTAAGCAACCTATAACCATGGAGAGTGTAACCGTTCCGAAATATCGGGAAAATAAAAAGAACTCGTACCGTGGTAAGAAACTTGTAACTAATAATGATCATTTAATTAGAAGTGGAGTTCCACAAACATAAACGAGCAAGTAATGTCCAGAAAATTACGCAATTACATAACTAAGGGCCACGGCGAGACACATCGCGTAGCAGTACTCTACGACAGCACCGTTCGTGCTACGCTGACAATATAATTATTTTATTCAATATTGTTTGCTTTACTATCTACATCTTAATATCCTACGTTACATAATATCATTTTATAAAAAAAAATTATATTCTGTAAAAGTCTGTAGCCATAAATATTTCATTACATTTTAACAAAACCTTTATTTAAAAATAAATTTCGAGTTAAATGTAGGTCCATAAATTTGCAACTCTATTACTCATAAAGTGCTACTCCAAGGTCTGCTATAATACCCTTTTTTGATGATATCGTTCAACATCATTTATATTAAGCAATTGTACTCGCTAATGAAATTGGCTTTGAATATTTTCTAAGTAATTCATGTCAGCGGACATCTGTATAATAGTGGGGAAAATAGGAACTAAAGCGACTGATAAATAGGTTTTGAATTATTACGACGCGTAAGCACTTTAGAATTTCTTATATTCCCAAATAATGTGGAGGGTATCACATATTTGTGGTTTACTAGACAACTTAACTGGCTAAAATAATGGCGAAAAAGGTGATTATGCAAATGAAACTATTTTTTGGATCTACATATTATAGCCCTTATACTTATAGCCCCGCACTAGGGAATCCTGTATTACGAGTGCCATGAACACACACATAGGCAATCACAAATTACACCCAAACTCACGAGAGAAATAAATGTAGGCCATACAAATCTTTCTCCCGGCCCAACAAACGAATACGGGACGTCTGCGTGGCATGGTGCATGGTAACCGTTGGGCCACCGAGGCACTTTAATCTATGGTGTGTATTTTTTTTTTAATAAACTGAACTTTTGGGCTCTATACAATTTACAATGATCTCTACAAGTTGATACTCAATTATTTTATTGCTTTCCATAAATAGAAAGATGTTACAATGATTTAAAGTACATTTATTGGCCGAGTAGCGCGTGACAATAGAATAGTACAGTTCAGTACAGTACAATACAGTACAGAACAGAACAGAACAGAACAGAATACGTTTGTTTACCAGAATACACCTGTAAGCAGGAGTGCAAATAT